GCCTTTCTTCTGACGTTATCGAGCTGAAGGGAATTGAAATAGGTAAGAGCTCTTGCAATGAGAAGTTCACGAATAACAAATATAGGTATAGGAATTTGTACATCATGTATTTCAACGTTATGTTTAGATATATAAGAACGACTCAACAACTGAAACTTCGGAGTCAATTTTGTACTTTGCGTTTCACAAGGTGACGGGTGGCACTTCAATAAAAGAGAGGAAAGAAATCAAATATGCCAATAACAAATATAGTATCGTTTCTCACAATTATAGCCTTGAAGGTAATTAAACATTCAAGATCTCCCGATTCAGTTCGTGAAATTCTATCATTAATTACTCACAGTGCAAATTTGCAGTAGACTTAACAAGAAAAAACATTCAGCAAAATTTTTCAAAAGCAATTAGTAATTACAATGGTAAATTACTGAATTCCAATATTTACATGTTTTGTCGTATCAAAATATAATTGTTTCTATGTATTAATAAAGAAAGGATTATATTTAGTAGATATCATCCTTTTAATGGTTGTATTTTATAGCAAATGTAGAAAAATGTTTATTTTTTTTATTTAGAGTCTTGTTTCACGTGTCTGACAATGAGAAAATAATGAGCAGAATAAACAGAGCAGAATAAACTTCTAGTATAAAAATGTAATAATCAAACCTTCAAAAAGATGTTTGATCTGAAATTAATTTTTACTATATTATTGAAAATAGTAGAATGAGTTTTTATAGAAAGTTCTTGTCGAAATAAATTCGAATGCTGAGAAGAAATGGAAACTTGATTATAAATTTCGTCTAATAGGTTCCTTGATTTCAAAAACAATTTATCTTTCAACTTCTCTAATATCTGAAATTAGTTATTCCATACTTCCGTCTAACATGTGAGAATGCAAGGCACGTGTGGTTCATTACGGCACGGTTTTGAAAATGAGTGACGATCATCTTTTGTAGAATGAGAATGTAGGATTTTGATTTTTGGTGTTAAAACATTATATTAAACCCATAAGGCTTGCGTATCATTTATCCAACGTGCATCGTGTGTAAAGTTTATAGGGTTTGAGGCAGTAAAGAAAGCAAGTCCACACTTGTCACAGGAAGTCTCCCACCATTTGTAAACCATTTGTTAATATCTCGATTTTGGTCAAAGTATTACTGTTTTCTACTTCACCATGTCCTTTCTAATTATGAACAAATAACATAGTAGCAGGATAAACCACACTTTCAAAGTCGATATTAAAATTTTATAATCAGAAGATGCTTGCTGTGACTTGTCTTGTTTCTGCCTCACGTCCTTCATATACAGAGTGAACAGTTGAGAGAAAGAAACACCAGTGGGGTCACGTGTATCAATATTATGCACGCAGCAAACCGTGGGCCAGGAAAGTCAAGAACACCCCCAAAAAATTAAAAATAAATTTAAAAAAACATGATGAAAAAACAAATGCTCAACTATGTAGCTGAGTGTGACAACGGTTTGAATTGTAGAAAAATCATTATTTTTAAATTTCCTCCGGCTAAGCAGGCTGGCGAGCAGGCAACGTGCGTGCGTGTGAGGGCGAGGTGGCCGCCACGTGTGCCGGGGGACTCGTGCAATTAGTCTGTTCATATCGACGACGCCGTGCAGTGGCGGGGACGAGGCCGAGGGCCGGGTCGGGGCCGGGGCCGCGGCCGGGGTCGGGGACGCGGTGGCGAGGACAGGGCCGGCCCGGGGGCGGCCGCAGGAGCGTCGCCGCCCATTGGTCGCGCTCGCGGTCACGTGGGGGTGCGCAGCGGCGGCGGTGGCGGTGGAGGCGGCGGCGGGGGCGCGCGCCCCGCCACGCGCACAGTCGCTCTTGGCGCACCCTGCAGCTCCGCCGCCGCCGCCGCCTTCCGCTCGCTGCTGCGTCGCCCAGCGCTCGCGTCCGCCCGGCGGAGCTCCGCAGGTGAGATGCAGGGCGCGCCCACCGCCTCGCGATCTACTATCTCACTAGGTTTGATGCCTTCGTGACGACCGGCAGAATCAGCGTTGCAGGCTGAGTGACTGACGTTTTGCCTGTACACGTAAGCTTCCGTTTGTCACTACCCTGAGGAAGCCGGCGATATGACAGGCGAAACGTCGGCCTCTCAGCCATGAAACGTCGCCAGGCGAAACGTCGCCGCGTCACGCGGTCAGCCAAGAAGTCATGACGTTTCGCCTGTCATGTAGCAGGCTTTCTCTGGGCAAGGAATAAATGCGTACGGGGAAAATGCATAGTTTTTACTATGCATTTTGGCGGCCATCCTTCAAGAGAGCAAACATAGCTAAGGCATAAGATATTTTGATGATTATTAAAAATATTGTGTTTTAACGCCAAAGGATTTCATTCCCAAAGAGTTGGACCCATTTATCTGCCGTTCCGTTCAATCAAAATTATATTTTGAGTGAAAAATATTTAAATATCTTTATTTTTACTTTGAGGAGATACATTTAAAAATGTTGCTATATTTTTTAACTAATAAAAAACCTTTAATTTTTTCAGTTTTTTAATTGTAAACTGCAGAGCATTATTGTAGGTACAAAATGAAATGATATTATGAAAGTAAATTATAAACCATTTTTATCTTTCGTGCCTTACTTGCTATCACTAAAATTAATGATCGTCTTAATAAAAAATCGTTAATAATAAGCTATTTTATTTGATTCATGAGTCACATCTTGAGCCGTAAATTATTTCCTGAACAATAGAACAAAATCCATGCATCAGTTCAAAATTATCTTTGCAATAGATTTGTAGAATTACATTTTGAGAAAAAGTGACTTAAAGGAATTGCGGCCTGTGAGAACGTAATGCGTATCATCAGTGTAAAAGTAAGGATTTTCATTCGTAATACGAAAATAAATTGAGATATTGACGTTTCTTGAACATAGAGATACATGTGGAGATAGAATGTACAGAACATAGAATGTAGAGAACATCGAGATTTATGTACATTTTTTTCTTTTCTCTTTAAAAAATACATATTTGAGTCGATATAGCTCTATCTACCCCATAAGGCCGCCTTCAGATTGAATGGCAGGTGCTGTCCGCCATTTACTGATACGCGCCTCCATAATGTCCTCGTAGCGTTGTTTCAAGCAACTCGTATGGCGTAGTTCTGTTGACGGCCGTCCAGTATTGCCGCCTATGAGGCTCTTCGGGCAGTACGGCGGACGCAGGTTTTTATATTGAGTGCTTTGAATGTCTTGCATGATGGACAGAGACACAGATTGTCACTGAGTAACTCTCTCTAATTTGAACACTTACAATTACTACAGGTTTAGAATGTTTGGTACAGGTATTTTCACCACTCAATTTTTTTCAAACGACGTCAATGTCGTCTACATCAACTGTAAGACCACATATAACATGTGCATTGTGGAGGACGGTTGTAAGAAATATCGCAAGAAATGTTTAATACTCCAAATTCCATTATAAATGTTCATTGTCGTAGTAATAAAATATACTTTGTTCAGCTGATAAATTTGTTCTATTTTTTGAATAATTTTTCCATAAATTTCTGAATTCTGTTTTAAAATACCTAGTATTCTATTAGTTTCATTGATGATTGTTCATTATTAATTACGTTATTTTGCCCATCAATTTCAGAAACACCAAGAAAAGTCTTTTCGCTGACTAGATTTTCCTGGACAGTGTCCCTGTGTTCTCGGCAGACGCCATACTCTAGAGGGCATGAGATTGATATGCTCTGCGCGTCATCTTTTAAGATACGACGTCAAGTTATGCGTTGCACAGACTCAGTTGTTTTTAGTGAATTTGAAAGGAAGATCATCTTTGGATCTAAAAGTAATATAAAGGCATAAGAAACCTATGTTTTAGCTTAGAAGGTTAGAAGAAACCTAAGAAATCCATGTTTTCTCGGTGTAGTCAGTCGATTACTACTCTTGAGATATGATACAATAAGAGCTTAATTTCTTAATGGTTTAAAAGCAATGTACTTGACGCAACACCTATTCGTCAGATATTACATCCTTCGCAAATTCCTACTTCTTGTTTGATGCTGTTCATAAGAATATATTTTGTATGGTAATATATAAAATGCGATTTATTAAATTTATAATTGAACATAGAAATGAAGAAAAAATATTTTTTTGCAAAAATTGTTTTCCCGACTTTTAATAAAAATACATTTTGATAAATATTTATATGCAATTATTTCAAACACGAATAAACTAGAAGTAGCCTGCAGCATCGGAAATGCCATTCAACAAAATCAAACAAAATGTTTTTTTTCAAACAGTAGCATGCATACTGCTCGAGGAAAGCAAATAAAATTTTCTCGTATAATACTATAATAAATTAAATATTTCAACAAAAACAGTTTTCACGAAGCGTCAGTTAGTCTGCAGTGCGTACGGATAGAAAGTAAAATAGTTCTTTACATACCAAGTTAAACAAAAAAGTTACCATTCCATAACACAATACTTGAATCTATATACTAGTATAAATAAAAAAAGTGCATGTGACTGTGACGCATATAGACGTAAAAACTTCTCTACAGATTTCTCTGGAATTTTCACACTTTGTTCTTATTAGTATCAGTAGCACTTCAAGAATAGTTTGAATTAAATCGGACATGTGGGAGCGTTGATGATGATGACTCGCGTTAATGATGACTCTCTCAGTCTATTGAACAAATCGAAATTCCACTCCACTCTTTCAGTGATAATGGGATCCGCCCTTGTGGGCTGTGAGGTCAATAATTTACCAAGGGTATTTCTAAATATAAATGTAATCTCATGTAGAGAAAGTTATACATTTCCAATTTTCTGCTTTTCGAAATAAATTAAAACAGAAAATTATTGAAGTGTTGCAATTTTTTGGCATTGCATTTTTTCCCGTCTTTGCAGGAAATACGATTTGTCTTTGAACAATCCAAAATATCCAAGGAGATGCAGTAGTGGTAACAACAAATTACAATATTGTTAATTGAGATGGATGGACACAAGAGTTTGTGAAACAAACAAATTTTTGTTCGTAGGAAGCAAACGCCCTTGGAAGGTGTGCCGTGGGAGATTGTTTCACTGCTGCGTGCTTCAAGAAGCCTGTCTCTCTTGTTGTCGCGTCCAAGCTCACCGCGACCATGGTCGCAGGCTCATTCTTCAGCATTGCCCTCCTGGCGCTATGCTCCAACTACCCTCTCCAGCCGGACTCCAAAGGAGCATGTAAGACAAACAACCATTTTCACTTCTCAACCTTTTGATACTGATGAATTTTTGAAATTAACTAATTAAGGATTTTTTAGTTTCAAATGTTTGGTAAATGCAGTAATCTTAAAAAATATACAATCACATTTTGCGAAAAGTTACATATTTTAAAATATTTAAATGCTTGAAACATTTCAAATATTTAATCTACATTCTGCCGAACCGTGTATGGACTCTGAAATGAATAAAAAAATATATAATGCCTGTTTGATGTAAAAGAGTCGTTTTCAAAACTATCGAAAAAAACTATCGGTCGAACACTATTAAAAAATCATTTTTCTTATGGCATGCAAATTCTGTATTTGATTCATGAGATCTGATATCCTAAGAAGTCGTAAATGTCTCATACCGACGCAACTCCATTACCTATAAAACATCAGAAGGGGACACCTGTTTTTCCTAGAATAAATTGCAACTGCAGGAAAATTTTACATATTTAAGAACTAATGATACATGTGTTTAGTAATATATAACAATAATTTTTAGCAAGTTTGTGTAAAGTATTTTTAGTTTTTAAGACAGTAAGGACATACATTTTTACCATTATCTGTTCTTAGGGTCCTTTCCGCGGGGCCACAGATGACCGCGATTTATTTTTAACAACTACTTCAACATTCGCTCTATTTTCCTAATATACAACTGTTCTCTACAGCAACATATTCGAATTGTTTTGAAAAAACCCGACAAGCGTGGAAAGAGGAAACTATCACTTATGGCTTAGGAAATGTTTAAACGATGAAACGAACTCCTTTCCTAGAGAAAGACAGAGGAAAACTACGCTGGGAAAACTCCCCTTCCCCTTGGTATACGACTGTTATTTGAAAAACACTTGAATCGTCTTACAAGAACCAAATTAGTCCATATTCGATATTTTTCAGAAGACACCAAAAATGTCTTAGCGTAGACGTAAATAGTAATGCATTTATTATTTTTCTTCGCATGTATCTATGTGTTTGGATCTTGGCGCAAGGATATTTCCCAGCAGATAGCGCCTGCTGTAGGGAACTTCTGGTGAAATATCTCAAAATATGAAATTTTGGACTTCTTTTGTTCTTGTAAGAAACGCATCCCTCCCTCATTGTTCTTAGTATTTCCATATGCACTCTAGGGAGCGCATTGAGAAGCGTTGTTATTTGACTATCTTTGCTCGGTCGCTGACGTCGTGGACATCAAATATTCAATTGGATTTTTGCTACTTCAGTAGGCGCCGAGAATCAATATGACAGCCTTATTTATTTTGAAATGTAATTTAAATTCGATACTTAATATTTCTCGTCGCACCTGAATGTCACTACTGCGTCAATATATGGGTTCTAAAGAACAATTTCTAAACTGCTCTTCTAAAATATGGCTTTCCATTACATAAAAATAACACCTGATCTTTATTTACTTCATTTTAATCCCATAATTATTCGAAAAATATTTTCGTATCCTTGAAATTTTTTTGTGAACCCGAAACCCATACGTTGAAATATATCCGAAATATATTCGAAACCCATACGTTGAAATGAATTTTTCGTCTAGTTAGTTACAGATTTTATTTGTTCGTAAATGTATTCAAATTTCTCTTTTTGTCGCAAAACATTATATTAATCTACAAATGTCCGTTTCAAGCAAACTATAGAAAACCGGTTATCACTTCCACACGCTCATAGCAAAATACATGTTTTTAATACAGAGCATACAATAATATTTTATTTTTTTATTACAGATCCACCTCCTGAATGTAAAATTCGGGAACCAAAACTCTTGGAAGGGCGCACTATTAACATAGTTACTTTGGATGTAAGTATTAAATGTTTATTATAAGTAAAATGTCGATATGAAATGTTTTTCTGAGAATTTTGTGAATGGATTCCACTCTTTCATTTCTTATTTTAGCAAATTAATAATATATTATTTTATTTGAAATGTTAAAAGACCACTGTGAGGAGTCAGGATGTTTGAAAGAACGTTTCTGTGTTTCATAATCGAAGTTAACTCTATGCTCTCATTCTATTTTCCATTACCGAGACTCTTTCTTGACAATCCAATGACAATGGCATCATCGCAGAACAGATTCTAATTTTAATTTTTAAAGTGTGCCTGCCGTGAAGCCGCTGTGACGTGACAAAAACTGCCGTGACATTAACAGTGAAAATATTTTTCTCAAAATTATCCACTTCACTTTCATATGATAATGATGCTCATTTTTAATTTTTTGCCCTAACTTCGTAAGAAAAGAAAATATTATAATTGTGCGCCAGAAAACAGAGCATTTTGGTCAGACGAGCTCTTATTCCGGGCATTTGTGACAAAAAAGTGGATAAATCTTGCTGCTATGAGTACTTCCTCTAATACGTTGTGTAGTCAGCATTCATGTTTTGAGGTTCTTTGATACCGAAAAATTGATTGACGAAAAAAAAATATTTGTCTGTCTGTAAATTTCATAGCGAAAAACGAGTGTTTTTACCGTAATTTCTGCTTGAAATTAATGGAATGTATAGAAAACGTTTTATCAAATCAACTCCAAAATTTTCTATAAATTTTATTCTCTGCCTACCGCTTAGGCAGTAGTGAGAAACTTAAGTAACGCTGCAGAAAAAACGGCGAATTTTCGGCAGAAAAACTTTTATTAACAGACCCTGGTAACGAAGAAAGTGAATAAATTCAGTTGCCAAATATAGAAAACAAATTCCTCTAACACGTGGTGTAGCCAGAATCCATGTTTTGTGCGTCCTTCATACCCGAAAATTGATTGAGGACAAAACGTCTGTCCGTCTGTGAACAACACTAGAGGCTAAACCGTTCAGCCGATTTTTTCCACAGTTAATATTTCCAATCTATCTGGCTGATATCGCGGCCCCTTGAATACTGCCCATATTACCCAACCAATATTTTAATTTTGGATGGTACCTTGCATAGAACCCCTGGGACATTTTATAAATTTAAAGAAAATGGCTCCATTTTTTTAAATAAATTTTGTTGTCGGATAGCTTTATAGACGCTTAACAGAAATGTACACATCTCATGTTCCTTGGCAAGTGATATTTCGAAAATTGCAAAAGATATATTTTTCAACGTTTTCCTACAACTAAAATAGTTAAGATAGAGATGTTTTACCTTAATGTGATCTGTTTCATAAAAACAGATTTTGAAATAGGGGCATGTACAATTTTTAGAAAATTTGAGTATTCGCGTAAATTTGCATGAAATGGAGACAATGTTCATTTTTGTTTAAAATATTTCTTCTCAAAAACTGCACCAAGTGTTTTGATTCAATTTTGATCACGGTTAACGTATAGGACTCTTAAGAGAACCATGCAGATATCATGTTCGTTGAAAATTCTGATTTGTTCTACGATATATCTTTCAACACAGATTTCATTGAAGAAAAATTCTATATAATTGATATGGGCCTTGAATTCTTCGAAAAATATCGGGGAATATTACTTTTGGAAAAATCGGTTGAACGTGAACCACAGGTCGATGGGCCGACCGACGAACAGACAGATGGACGGACAAAGGCTTAGCCGTCAATCGATCGTTCAGTATCAATGACACCAAACGCATGAAGTCTAAATACTCAACGTGTTACAGGAAGAAATTTACTATATGTAGGAAGCATCTTTACCTACTTCTTCGTTAGATGGATCCAGCAATAAACGTTTTTGTACTGAAAATTTGCCGTTTTCCTGCGCACGATTTACAATACTTTCTCTTCTTACGATGTAAGCGCGAGAAAGTAAAAATGTCTATGTTTAATGTTGCAGTCGTAGGAAGTCCCAGAAGAAATTTTGAATGTCCATTATTTTGAAGAGTTCAGATAGTGCAACGAAAATGCCATCTATGCCATTTCTGTGAGCGTCGTTTACTATATCAAAGAAAAACACACAAAAAAATGGAGTCATTGTTGAGAAAAATTTGAGAATTGAGGTATCATGAAAGGTACCTGCAAAAATCAAAACATCTGTTCCAAATTCAAAATCCAAGTTTTGTTGCCAGCCTCTAGCAATAAGAGATTTTCTGTCGACAACCCGCCGTTTTTCTGTCGACCATTTTCCTCGCAGTATTACAATACTTTTCTATATTGCGTAAAGTGTATAGCCTGCAGCATAAAAAATGTCACTAAAAATCCTAATTAATATACTGCAAAAGTATACGGGTGAAAATAATAAGCGGTGTTACAATAGAATAATAGCTACAGAATAATTTTGGTTTTCTTTTTGCATTAAAATATTCTCTTTATCCAACCTAAGAAGTGGGCGAGAAAGTAAAATGTATGGATGCCGATTTTTTCGCAAAGAGGGAAAAATTCGATACAGTAAATATTTAAAAATTAGCACATATTAAGAAATTCTAAATATAAACTAAACATATACATGTAGAAAGTAACATACTTACTAATCTTAATCTCACTATTTGATTTCTCGTAAATAATGACGGGAAGATGAAGTGTGTAATTTCACCATTAAGTTTCATTGCACTCAATACTCAGTTTCATTGAACACGATTCAGAAATAATAATATTATTTAGTTGATTTCACTCTGATCTTCCAAGAAATGTAGAGAGAAAAAAGTCATTTTTAGGAATTTTTTAATGAATATTGCCAATACTTTACTTTAAATTACGCAAAAGTACACATCACATAAATTAAAGAACTGATTGCGTAAAATTATTTGAAGAAGAAATCTCAATAGTTAATGATGTGGTGATCCGAAAATGTTCTTTTCGATATTCAAAAATTTAAGAGTTTCCAATGAAGATTCCTATAATATCTTTATAAATCGATTTAAGTCTTTACTTTTATAAATTAAAAAAAAATGGAGAAATTGATGAAAAATTTTGAAAATGTCCCATTAAATTCACGTAAATTACCCCCAAATTCAAAGAAAGGCTCTAGCTCCAATTTCCCCAATTTCTAGGCCCCAATTTGAAGCGGGAGAACTTTTTAGCATCTTATCCGACTAGAGACTTTCGTTAAAATCTCAGGTTTTGGAATCAGGCCAGATTCGTGTAAAGTACCCACAAAATTCAAAGAAATCTATTTATCGGGGCTTGGTGTTGTGCAAAATATTTCGGAGAATATTCATTTAGGCAAGAATCCTACGTATAGTTAAAGCGCTAATGTTGTTTACACACGGACGGACGGATTGGCGGACGGAGAGACGGATGGACGAACGAGCGAACAGACGAGCGGACAGACTGACTGAGACGGTAGCAAAGGACGCTAAAGCGTACATTTCCGTGTAAATTTCGAAATCAATTTTCCGATGCATTACCAATCGTTTGCTACCACGTACATATAATTTTATAAACATCCGTACGCATAAGAGAAAATAATACCGCGAATAATGATCAAGTCGTTCCAGTTCACAGCCTCACTACTTCTACCTCGTTTATTGAATGAGGTATTGAGATAAAGCTTTGATGTTCTATCAAGTATTAGTTGGTAATGGGAAGTCGACTGTATCAAATCAGTTTAGGAACAGACATCGTTGGATTATGATTTTGAACCAGATAATGTTTCATGACATGTCACTGCAAACCCCTGGCGCTCCCACTCCCGTATATCACCGCGACGATATCATACACGTCAGACGCGCCCACGGTTCGATGCTTCCGAATGAAAAACGATGGGCCAACCTTTTTGATCAATGATAGTCAACTGACTTTGCGAGGGCCAGGAGCGCGATCTTTTCCTTACACGAGAAAGTCATTGTCATACACTAGCAACGGATATGGAATGTGTCGACCGTTTTGCTATATATTAAAGGTGTTGGCTGAGTTGCGGTTTGACGTATTTTTTGTCGCTAGTGTATTCGACTTCATCTTTGTTTAAAATGCAGAAGAGAGCAGAACATGGTGAGAAAATTAAGAGCTAAATTATTATTATTATTATTATTATTATTATTATTATTATTATTATTATTATTATTATTATTATTAGCATCGTGTTGTTACGCGTTCTTTTTTTACGCTAACACAACTCCGATTTCATTAAAGCAGTAACGCTTGTATTTATTTTTAACAAATATATTTAAAATTATTACTGAAGTTAACCAAATTAATTAGAATTTTAAGAGAAATATACTGAAGCGTTATCACTTCTAATGATATTGATAATAATACTAATAACAACAACAATAATAATAGTAATGATAATAATAATAATAATAATAATAATAATAATAATAATAATAATAATGTATTTATATACTATTTACATTTCAACTCCGCATTGGGAAAACACACGGTGAGCGTAATCAGGATTTCAATTATCTCGAATGCTAATATATTTTTGCTCTAAATTGAATATTCTATATTGTAACCTTTGTATCCTTTGCTTTTATTCATGACACCATTCATTATCAGACAACTTTCTTGATACTGTCCGCCACCGTGAGGACTTGGGGATTCTACTCAGCAAAGAAATTTGGGGAGAGTATGGACGTTTGCACCACGCATTCCTTGCGGTGAAGAGATTTCAGTGAAACTATAATCGTTGTTCAGTTTTGAAAGACAATTCATAGCATTTTTACAATGTTTCTTCAATTAAAGAAATCGTACGTACCTTGGGATTGATTAGAGAGGTCTTTGAAAATATTCCGATTCAAAGTATTATTTATAACATATTGAATGTTATAATATTGAAACTAACGCCTGTTCTACTGTATTACATATGTTTTGCATCACGTGCACTTGACACAAATAACTTTGCTGCTTTACTTTTAAATCATATGAATGGAAGCCAATGAGATAGACATTTTGGCTAAAGGTCACTATAACAACAGATATTTCTAATAAAAATTGGATATGTTCCGTAGTCTCCGTTGTTTATAATCAATATTATGCTGAGACTCCTTACTGGCGCCATACTGTCCCATTTACTAAGTATGTGGGAAGAGGCACTGAACGAGTGTCGTCGTCTCGTGCTAGTGATCCTGTTTTAAACGTGTCGTGTACTTTCAACTTTTTTTCTTAAAACATTCAAGGTGTGAATGGTACATCAAGAAGAACCTGTTTTAAAAATATTTTTTTGTTAGATATATATGGGTTTGGCATAATCTAGAAGGAGAAGAAATATTACTCCAGTGATAAAATGGTTGTAACTGGATTACTTTAAAGTTAAATTAGGAAAACAAAAAAACACTCCCTATTTGTAAAATTTTCGTAGAAAATTTAAGATACAGGTTCAACAGAGGCTGTTCATTTATGCCCTTTGGTCTTTTATGTTTTTGTCTGAGTAAAATATCTGGATTTGATAAGAAAAACAGTCGTTGTGTGCAATTTGCTATCAGCAATGAGACTCGCTGACGTATGGACCAGATGTTCCGAGTCTAGTACCACCAACTTTTCAAGAGATAACTATCAGTGCTTCCACTTTGGGTGCAGAAAATGATATAAATACCATAGGGGACTCATTACATAATGATGCTCTTTATGTGAATAAGACTCCAGAGCTATAAAAAGTACTGTAACAGAACAGGAGAAAATTGAAAAAAGAATCACGTAATGTCAAGGAAAAAATGTAATAAATGGCCCACTAATTGACTCGCAGAGAAAATTTCCAACATCTTACAATATCAGACTTAAAATACTTAAGCAATTTGTTAAAGCCTTGATCAAACTGGCCTTTGTTTTCAATATATTGTTAAAATATTAAATGATTTAAGAAAGAAATGTTAAGTAATTAGGTTTTCTACATTTCATATAAAATAACTTTAATAAAACTTTAACCTAGGAACTCGTTCAAATATGTTATTAACGATTTCCAAAAAAGTTTTTTGAAAACGATATTCGAAAAATTCATGACACTTGGATGTAATACGAGTTTGAAGTAAGATTTTCTTCATTCTCATCTGAATTATTTTCGAAAACCTTAGACCTAAAGAAAACAAGCAGATCGGTTTAATAAAGTTATGAAAATGAAAACAAATGGAAATAAGCGGCTAGGGTTGATGGAATGTCTCCATGAAGGCTGACTACTGAAGATGTTCAAAGAGAAGTAACGCTCACCTGGACCATAAACTTCAATCAGTATAGCTTTTGTTTTTAATAAAACATACGAGTAACTAGATTTTCTGCAGAGAGATTTATATTTCAGTATTCATTTTTAACTTCTGTATCGATACTAAATATTTTGCCTTATTTGTCAGGGATTAGCTGTTAGTCAGCCTTATTTGTCAGTGTCAGTCATTGCTAAATTTGGTTTCTGACAAGACATTTATAAAATACGAGATTTTTCCTTTATAGATGGCGCGACCTTTCATTCAAAATATAACTCGTACGTCTTTTGGCGATCAGAGAAATGGGATGTCTTTGAGACTTAGTCGTATACTCGCCACACACATAACAGACAAGATTTGGTGAATTAAAACACTTCCTAGACATCGTTGAGTATAATAATCACAGGATCATGCACAAACAATGTTCACGTTAGCGGATTTAAATACTTCATGAATAGATACTGAGTGATCTAACTATCTATTGACTGATGCAAGGGCAACTTCCCTTTACGTACCCTAAGTGCCTATCTACCTCTGCCCCTCGCCTCTATAATCCCAGTACTAAGGTAATAATATTCCTAAAATAACAGAATGTGAAGAGCGCCGCGACAGCATAAATAACTCAGATAAAATTACGTTTCCAGAATAAAGTTTATTTGATTGCAATAAATGTTTTTCACTACTGTCATCAGGATATTGAACTACAATGACATTCAAACATTTTTGTTTTGCGGCAAATTTCAGTGTCGCACTGTGCAATCAATGGAATCAATCAACTTGATCAATAATAATGGCAATATTCAGTATAATTATCAATCAACATCATTTAGATTCATAGACTAATTCTACTCAGTTTTGTCTAAGACTAGGTTTTAGCATTGCAATATATAAGGAAGCAAGACATATATCTCAAATTAAAAGATAAATATAGAGAATATGCGTTTAATAAGTTAAATTAATAAAGCAATTTGTGGAATATTAAGTAATAAAAATATGCAATAGTAATTAATTTGCGATTTTTCATTGTTTACATCTTTGACGGCAAAATTTTTGTGACCAAATGCTCTTAGACCAAATGCGTTCATTCTTAGAATTTGTAAACTATGATATGAATAGCGTATCAGTTGCCTCGAATTCCTCAGAGCATACGATGCAATGACATGCAAAACAAACTACATTATTTTGTATACTTTTTCGTGAAAAAGTGACGTGAAATAAATCATCGATACATGCGTATTCGGCGTGTTTCGCATTTCAGACTACATTGCATTGGAAGGACGATATTCATATCATTTTATAAAACCGTTTACCATATAAAACTTAAGAAGAGACCTTCTTGTAAAATATTATTAAAAATACAAGAATAGAATAATAAATAACGTTTAAAACGTTTATGATTTATTTCTCGGTGTTTTATTGTATGACTGATTTCTTCTAAAGCATGAACTGTGAGTTCACTATTATAAAAGCGTTTTTGAAGCAGTTAAAAATAGTGTGTATATGTGTTTACAGAGTCCACCTCTAAGTAACATTGGAGAAGAGGATAAAGAAGGAAATCATAAAGGAGACGGGATAGTGTTCGAATTCATTAACATCCTGATGTACAAGTATGGCTTCAAGTATAATGTGTCGTTACCTAAGACTAATGTTCTTGGGGACAACAGTTCTGGCATCATAGGAGAGGTGGCGCAAGGGGTAAGTAATATTTTTGATCTCAGACATTTACATAGATTAGTTCACTCATTATCCTAATACGAATAGTTTTTAATAATATATCTTTAAACTTCAATCAGGGTGGTACCACTAAAAATATATTGTATTTTCTTCCTTTTCCCTCTAGTCGAACATAAGTCGCGATACATTAGTCGTAAGAATCAGTGTGCACTTAACTCCCGAGATTTATTAATATAATCAATATTTGGCGCACTCTGGAACTCTAATGGAAATAATTTAATTCATGGAATAGTATTATTAAATACCACTCGTAATTCAATGTACTCGTGGTATTGTCAATGATAAATGGTATTTTTCTATAAAAATGAGCGTGACTAAAGAATGCAGAGGAGTACATACGTGGGCAATTCAATTTTTAAATAAATGTTATAGATAAAGAAAACAATGCACACAGTTGGAATGTTTGCACAATTCAGTGAATATTTTTGGTTAATTTTCTGAAAGGGAGAGGTCAATTTTTGAAGTCCAGCTTTCGATATTGGAAGATTGGGAATTTTCTTACAATTTTCGATTGTTAGAAACCTGTGTACAAAGGTCAATGATCCATCCTTTTCAATGTAACCATAAATGAAACACATCAACTTGATCATGAGTAATATGATCAGTCAACGTTTTCATCATGAGAATGATAATGTCAATCTTCCATACGATTATCAAGCGACATTATTGAAGTCCCTAATGAATACGCAAAGATATGGCTATGATTGCTAAGACATTATTTATAGAAAGATATCTTACAAGAAGATTTCATTAATTTTCATGGAGTTTTCTAATTTAATAATTTTAGTGCAATATTGAAAAAGTGCCAGCACTTGACCAGTTTTTACCGCTTCAAGCAACCACAAAGATCTACGGAAGATATTCTCTTATTGATAACATTTCAACCTTCCGCCGCTATCCTTCGTAGTCAATTGGGTCATTATATCCACCGCTTTCCCATAATATGCTCCAAGAAAGGCAGTGCCGCATATTTTATTCATAAGACTATTTGCTCACTGGAAACGAATCAAAGGGAATTCGAGGCAAAATACTGCATTTGAACTCCAATAAAACGTAAACGGGGAGTGTTTTGATTCAAATTGTATTCCACAGGGTTCTTTGATACTGTATTATATAGAAGAGAACAATGCCCTAGTCTTTCGAAGAAAGATTCGGCAAATTACTACTTGTGTAGTAATTAAACCATACGACCCACCAATCCTCAACCGTATTACCAAAGGTTGTTTTCTCGTACTTCGTTATATATATATATATATATATATATATATATATATATATATATATATATATATATATACCTATGTAGTACAATACGTAATTTATTTTAAAATTTAAGGTTTGGCGGTTCATTTTCACCATATAAATTATTGGCAAATATCTTTGGGAAAATGCATCTCAAATATTGAACCACCAGTAATTTTCTTGAAAGAGCAGTGTTGTAATGAAAATTTCGATTTCGAGTTAGAATTTGTAATAGATTTTTATTGTTGACAATTGTTCTAGTCATTTTCGACCAAACATCTGGATAAAGAAATTCAATTCACAAGAAAATTAAACAAAAAATTAAAATTCATATAATAATATCTTTTTAGTTCTTCAATAATGCATAAATATCTTAAAACAATTCAAAAGGAAATGATGATAATCTAAAATTATAAAAAGCTGAAAGTAAAGATGACAACGGTTTTAATACAAATATAGTCTGAAACCGTGTCAACTTTCTCATTTCTTCGTTTCATATTATTTAATTCGAAAACATAAAATTTATCCTGAGATCATTGTTTTAGTTCATTTCATTGATAATGAAAAATGCTATAATGGTTATGAATGCATGTGTAATTTTAATACCGAAAAAATGTTCAATGAAATACATGATATTTAGTTAACATAATGCAACATTGTTAAGAAAAATAAGGCATTCAAATATTACTTATAGACTGAACCTTTACACAGACGTTAATATTCATAATGAAATAAGACCGATAAAAATTGTAGGCGTAATGGGACACTAATTATTACTTGCCAAATATTCTTCAACCTTGTCGGTCAGCAGACCCAAACAGATCGTTGTATCGATCCGCCCTCTGTTTCGATTCGTCGCCGTTCGTCATCATGCAAGTCGTGCGTTTTCTGAGAGCACGCGGAGGCTTCGGAGTTCGCCGGCGGCCGCGAGAGGCCGCGCGTGGCAAACAAAGCTATGTAATGTTTGCTCGCTACGGGACTCGTTTGGTCTCCCGGCGTTCGAGGTCGCGACCGCGGCCGAGCGGCGTTGCAGGAGCACGGGGGACATGTGGGGGAGTCAGTCCGCTTCGTCAATAATGGAGCGAGCACACAATGAGACACGGGTCAGGGATGTCACATTGGGCGGGAATGACGCCAATCGGAAACAAAAGGATATTGACAGGTCGCGGGACGAAAATGCTTGTTGCGGAATTCCGACCATTGCGCGGAAATTATTGGGTTTTGGACGTAATTTAGGACTTTTGTTCATTACTTCTATCATTGGGGAGGGAGGTAGTTTTAGGTTCACTATTGGGGAAGCTATGAGTAGGCTTTTCGCGTTCCTTCCGTAAACCCTGAGAGAAACAGACGAAGAAAGAAAGTGGCGGATCAGTTTGCTCTCCACTACAATAGTTTACGTCACTGTCGATTGCACACAGTTCACAATACTCTAATTTTTGTCTGTCTACTGCGAATAACGTCAACCGTAAAGATTCCTTTGCAGTCAGTTGACTTTTTTCTCACGAACTCGGACATTGGGCGTAATGTTAGTTATTTAGTGGAGGATTTTCTCGTAGCGGATCTGAAAATCCTACTAGTAAATTCGTGGTGAAATTGACAGATCGCTCCCCCATTATTACTGGGGAGTGAGTACATTTCTCTCCCGAACGATTTGATAGAACTTTTTGTCAAAAAGATTAGAAACTCTTTGTGACATACAGAGAAGTATAATCTATTCACGTTTTCTTGAGATTCCGAATCCCTACTGCATTCTTTTGCTGTACATTCGTGAATATTATGAATAAAGATACAGATAAAATGTGGGTACCAACATTTGAAAACTGGAAATATTCGCGTTCGGGTTATAGAAGACGTATTTGCATCGATAAATAAATTACAGATTTGCTTTCATACTACTGCTGACAAAATAACAATCTACATGTCAGGGCCCTACTCCTACCATAGTTGGCCAATGGAGAGCTAAATAAAGCGAGTGTATAATAAAGCTCTATTTTTGTAGAGAAGCATAACATGGGGACATCTTAGCATTTGCTCAATAGATTAAGGAAAATTGGATAAAAACCCTGTTCGATATGGAGGTCATTATTCTAGAAGCGAAAATACAACAACAGTTCCCTATGTTTCTTGTGAAATTCGTGGTAGTCAAAGTGGTTTCGGAGCGGTCTGATGGGCCGTGAGAGCGAAATTGAGTATATTCCTAGGGCAACGCGCTACTTATCCCTCGCACAGTGGTGATTAGTAAAGAGTGAAGGGAAAGGGGACGGGGTGGCTTGCTTAAAGAAATATCATGTTCGAATTTAGTGCACCTTTTTGTTTCAAATTAAAAGAGGCAGGCGAGGAGAGAGAGGGGAAGAGAGAGATCAGGGTCGGAATGTACGGGAGTCGAGCTTCAAAAATGGATCGTAGTCAGATAGTGACACCTCTGAATATGAAAGTGGAAAAATAGTTTCAAAGATATTGGGATTGGTCGTGACATTTATCACGGTTAAGGAACGAGTACAGTAGTACTTGTTTTAGATGTAGAATAGGGCTTTATCACTTGGTGTTCTACATTTCTATTGTGGTAACTCTGGGGAGATGATTTTGCTATATCAAACACTTTGACTCACAGCTGATCATTGGTCAATCAAGATTTTATCTCGAGTAACGTTATACATTAAACAATTTTTAAATGAAGAATATAATTTTGCTATCCACATTTTTCAACCCCTTAGTGTATTAGAGAAGTAACAATTTTAATAACTTTTGTTTTTAAATGGAATTATTTTAAGTTAATAATTTAAAGTACTTATTATTTCTTTTATAGAAGAAATGCAAATAAAATTTGAGATATAAGCAAAATTAAGGACGTATTTTAAGTTTATTGAACATTTAGGCAGTAGTTTTTGGATTACGTAAGGTGAAACTGTAAAACTAAGTTTATATTTTCGAAATCTGGGTTTCGTTAGAAGGACGTAGAATTTTAAGAACATTTTCTTTCTCAAGAACGTGGTACTGTATGAGGAAATTATATTTTATTAGTGCTACACGGTAGAATACGTTCATCATCCAGAGGAATGACGTTAGTTCATTGATTATTTCAACGTAACATTTGAAGCTGTTCTCCATTGCAAGGGTAATAAATTCAGCAATATTTTCCATGGCATTTATATAAAATATCTATTAATATAAAATATATATGGTAATTTAAAAATCATTTTAGAAAATATTCAGTATAAAAAATTGTTCGGAAGATACGAAATGGTCTAAAGAACGTGGTTATGCTAATAGGTTTCTAGATTCGATACATAAATGTTTGCTTTATATGTAAGTTCAGCGATGTGGATCGTGAAAAATACTTTGAATGGGACTGGCCACTCATCAATCTCTTATGCCAGGCAGAAGTGTTATGAACGCTCCTTAATTCATTAAAGGAGCAGAAACAAGATAAGCCACTCCAGCCACCTCAAACTCTCCGCTATTCGTAAATGTTAATATCTCGATTTTGGCGAAAGTGTGGTTTCTAGTGTTACTACAGGGAACTTTACATTTATGAAGGAGTTGGGGTAGTAACCAAATCACACACAACATGACATCCTTGATCAAAGTCGCAATATTAACATTTACGAATAAAGGAGCTTTGCAGTAATTTGGACGGTATGTTTTGTTACTGCCACTGTCGGCACATTGACCGCCAAATTGCTTCAA